ATAATGATGCGCAAAATGATAGTAGTGATAATAAGATATATAATAGTAATAATAATGATGATAATGATAATAATAAAAATAGCAGTAATCCTGATGATAACATAAACGGTCGTATGATAATTATAATAACATTAATAGCAATGGTGAAAATAAGAAGAAGAATGATAATGAGAATAATAATAATAATGATACTAACAATAATAATAACAATGATGATAATAATGATAGGGATTACGATGATGAAGATGATGGTAATAATAATGATAATAATAATAGTAATGACAATAATGATGATAATAACAATGGTATTAATAATGATGGTAATGATAACAATTATAATGATAATAAAATGATGATGATGATGATATTGATAGCAATATTAATAATAATAATAATAATAATAATGGAAACGGTGATAGAAATAACAATAATGATAATAATGATAATAACAACAATAATAATGACAATGACAATCCTGGTGATAGCAATAATGATAATGATAGTAATAATAATAACAATAATAGTAATAATAATAATTCTTATTGTTATTATTATCATCATTATTATTATTATTATTATTATTATTATCATTATTATTATTATTATTATTATCATTATTATTATTATTATTATCATTATTATTATTATTATTATCATTATTATTATTATTATTATTAACATTATTATTATTATTATTATTTGATAATAATAGTAAATATAATAGTAATAATGATAAGAATGATAATGATAACAAAAATAACAAATGATAATAATAATAATGTTATCAGTAATAATGACGATGATGATAGTAATAGTGATAATAGTAATAATGATAACAATCATAATAATAGGAACAATAATAATGATAACTAGAAAAGCACTCAGAGAGTGCAGACCGCCAAGGTGCGTATATAATGTACTTACACCGCTGCTGCGTCCAGATGGTAATTCGGAATATCACCAAAATTTAATCAGTTCTAAGTTAGTCCCTTTCTGACTTGTCCCCAAAATTTCGATGAAATCCGGCCAGCACTTTTTGAGCTACGCTGCTAACAAACAAACAAACCAGCAAACCAACAAACCAACGCCGTCAAAAACATAACCTCCTTGGCGGAGGTAACAATAACAATAAAATGGGAGATTGTGAATTGTGGCACACGTTTACCGTAGATTTGTGTACCGAACTTGGATTGTAAATTTATTAATTAAATAAATAATGATAATAATAAATAACCAGCCGATAATTCGGAATGTCAAGTTAGTCTCTTTCTGACTTGTCCCCAAAATGTCGATGAAATCCGGCCAGCACTTTTTGAGCTACGCTGCTAACAAACCAACGCCGTCAAAAGCATAACCTCCTTGGCGGAGGTAATAATAATGACAATAATAACAATAATGGTAATGATGGTGATGATGAAAGTGCTAATTATCATAATAAAGATGATAACAATGATAACACTGACGATAATAATGACAATAATTTTAATGGTATTGATGGTGATAATATAAAAAATTGTTAATGCTAACATTACTATTACTACTAATATTAATAACAATAGTAATATGATGGTAATAATAATGATAATAACAATAACAAGAATGGTAATTATGAAAATAATAACATCAACAAGGACAATAATAATATTATCATACTGGAATAATAATAACTAGAAAAGCACTCAGAGAGTGCAGACCTCCACCAAGGTGCATATATAATGTACTTACACCGCTGCTGCGTCCAGACGGTCACCGAAATTTAATCAGTTCTAAGTTAGTCCCTTTCTGACTTATCCCCAAAATTTCGATGAAATCCGGCCAGCACTTTTTGAGCTATGCTGCTAACAAACAAACAAACCAACAAACCAACGCCGTCAAAAACCTAACCTCCTTGGCGGAGGTAACAATAACAATAAAATGGGAGATAGTGAAATGTGGCACATGTTTACCGTAGATTTGTGTACCGAACTTGGATAGTAAATTTATTGATTGAATAATGATAATAATAATAATAATGTACTTACACCGCTGCTGCGTCCAGACGGTAATTCGGAATGTTACCAAAATTTAATCAGTTCTAAGTTAGTCCCTTTCTGACTTGTTCCCAAAAAATTCGATGAAATCCGGCCAGCACTTTTTGAGCTACGCTGCTAACAAACAAACCAACAAACCAACGCCGTCAAAAACATAACCTCCCTGACAGAGGTAACAACAACAGCAACAATAATAAAAGTAATAACAGTATCAAGAACAACAACAACAATATGATAATAATAATAGCGATAATAATGAAGATAGTAACATTAGTAGTACCAATAATACACAATGAACAAACAAATGCATAAATAACAACCACACCAACAAACCAAAACAATTCGAAAGCGAAATTTAAACTAAAGAAAATGAGACGAAATGACAAGAGGGGGGCCTGTCTGTGTGTTTATGGGGGTGGGGGTGGGGGGGTGGGAGGGGGAGTGAGGGAGAGTAATGAGGGTGACGCCCCCCCTTCCCCCTCCCCTCCCCCCGCCCCACCCCACAGCATTTTCCATGTGGGCGCGCGGGGGGGGGGGGGA